GTGTGTGTGTCTGTGTGTGTGTGTGTGTGTGTCTGTGTTTGTGTGTGTGTGTGTGTGTCTGTGTGTGTGTGTGTCTTTGTTTGTGTGTGTGTGTGTGTGTCTGTGTTTGTGTGTGTGTGTGTGTGTGTGTGTGTATTTTTATTTTATTTATTTTAATTTAATTTTTTTTTATTTATTTACATTATTTATTTACATTGAAATGTGACCTGACAAGTTTTCAGGAGATTTCTCGTGTTTTCATGTGTTTCCTTATTTTAAAATCCGATAGTAAGTACAGTATTTCTGATGTTTCCAGTATGGAGGTGATGCAGTTGTGTGTCAGTGATTTCTCTGTGAACACAACCACAGATGGTGCTTTCTCGTGTTGTATCATTTGGGCTTTTACTAAACCGCTGATGTACTCTTCACACGCGCTCCTGTGAGGCGGTGTTGATGCTGAAACAGGCCTTCAGAATTTGGAGAGTAAAGCAGGATGCAAAAGAAAGGTACATTATAGCAGTCACAGGAGATTAAACCCCCTGAGCCGCTGTACGCCGCTAAATCTACTCCACTTTCATTTGTCTGAGAGGAGCGCGGCGCAGGAGAGAGAGAGAGAGCATTTGGAGTGATGCACAGGGAATGGCGTGGGTGTAGCGGGGAAGATAACTGTCATTGCAGCGCACACAGCTCGCCTCTACAGAGTTTTGTGACAGTAAGTGTCAGTTTTTAGGGAGGGAAGTGTACAGGCTGTTCTTGTCTCAGACGTGTGTGGTCCCATCACTGTCTTATGAGATCTGGATGCTTGTTCAGTTCTGAATCAAACACTTGTCCAAGGAAACAGTGTGAGGCTTGCTGTGAGGATGGAGGTCACGGCAATCCAAACATGGGCTGCATCCCAAAACACATACTTCTGCTACACAGTCAAAGTATGTACTTCAGTGGTGATGAAAGTGCAGATTTTTGAGTGTTTAATTAAAACAGTAAGGCAGTGTTGTACCACAAAACATGTTCAAGCGCTTGCACTAGAAACCAGGCTGTCTCTGACTTTCAATGATACATATTGACTTCTTAAAACATGTTTCTGCTCTTAATGTGTTATTGTAAAGCATTTTTTGTCTTCATAATTTTACATCAAAAAGAAGACTTTTTTTCAGCTGAATAACCAGCTTCCTTTGGAAATATGCCACATTACAAATGCAAAATTGTCTTTGAATGTCTTTGAAAAAAAACACTTAAACTCTCCTGAAGACCTTGTGCTCGAGCATATTCGCAGCGCGCACACATAATGCCAGGTTCACATTACTCAGTTTGCAGTGCATATGCGGTGAGTATTTTTTCCGTGCTCATGTTAACAGATTAAAGCATTCACTGCACACGGTTGCGGTCTGGCAGTGCGTCTGCGACAGTGCAGAGATTGTTTCCACACCGAGTCTATTGCTGCGCTGCATGCGCTGAATTAAAGTAACAGTGCATTGTTTGCAGTAAATATGAACATGGATTGACACGAAAATGTTGCAATTACACCATAAATGCATATTATTAAAGTGTACTGTGTTTCACAGTCAACACATATGGCTTTTGGCTAGGTTTAAAGGGAAAGAGCACTTTTATGTAAAGAAGGCAATAATAGATGGCACTCGTGGAGGTAGGAAAACAAAGTTCTTTATGAACGGCAGGATTGCTTGTAATAAAGACTTAAATGCAAAAGAAAAGGCCGCAGAGCTGACTATTTCTGTCAATGGTAAGTTTGTGATAACGTAAGAAAAGTGGTTTAAATGTTTTGCCACGTGCTTGAGTAACTTAATATATAAATCTAGAAGTAAATGCAAAAGTAAAAAGCATTGAATAATGTGTTTCTTATATTTATTGTTTAAACATATCTGTGAAAGATTGTATTACTGTACTGTGTAAAAAAAAACAAAAAAAAAACAAAGAATTGCAATGCTGAAAAAGCATTTTCAGCGACAATGTTTGGATTTGAAATCAAAATAATGGATAAATGTTGTGTTTGTGGTAAACAGCCATGATTCAGTAGCGGACTCCTGTGTGAAAGCTGCTTCTCCTCTCACAGGAGTCACCTAAGAGGGGAATTCCCCCATTTTCAAAAATTTAATTAAGGCCCTGAATAAATGTCTAAAAATCCTGATTGGAGTATCGCTATAAATAGTTATAAATGATAAAAAGAAGGCTTTAAAAAGATCGGTATCGGCAGATACTGCTTTCTGTGATCGGCCTCAAAAACCCTGATCGGAGCACCCCCTATTAAAAACAATTGTCGTAGCTTTTACCTTACATTTTTCGCCATTTTTCTACAACTGAATTA